CACAAATATGTATTCATTCCAGGCTTTACCTTTAATGTAAGAATATCAATTCCAACTGCTGCAGCTTTTTCCTGTTTGGTTTAGGGATTTAATCTAAACCCCTGTCCCAGCTGACTGCATTTTCACGTTTCTTCTTGTCTGTTACTGTGGGCTCTGCACCTTGGTACATGCTTTTTCCATTTGATCACTTGCTCTTCCTCAGTACTATCAACTCAGGTTTCCAACTAAATATTCCATTCATAAATTGGATCTGCTTTTCAGCTCTCTCTTTAAGTTTAGCAACGAAGTCTTTGAATTGTTTTGGGGCTTGAGCCACGTGCCCTGAGGCCTCTGTTCCTTAAATCTGCTCTTTGGCTCATAGGTAGGTACTGCAAGTCTAGATGAGCACAGCATCATCCCCACTCTCATGGTGGATTCCTGTTCAAGATTAATGAACAATTCCACCTAGCTTCTGCCTCTCAGGGAACAAGGTTAAACAATAAATTCAATTTTGGACTCTGAACTTGAGGTCCTTGAGAGGCTCTGGTGGACACACACAGAAGACAGTTGGAAATAATAAACCTGGGGCTCAGGAAAGAGATCCACTAGAAAATACAGATTTATGATCATCAGCAAATAGGTTGTAATGAAAGCCCCAAGAGTGGATGGGCTTGAGCCATGAGACTATAGAATAGGAATCTTTAATCTGATGGGCTTCTGGCACATCTATGCACCCACTGAAATTGTCGGTGATAGGAATCCTTAATCTGACGGACTTCTGGGCATCTATGCACCCAATGAAATTGTCGGTGAAAGGAATCCTTAATCTGACGGGCTTCTGGGCATCTATGCACCCAATGAAATTGTCGGTGAAAGGAATCCTTAATCTGACGAGATTCTGGGCATCTATGCACCCGCTGAAATTGTGGGTAAGAGGAATCCTTAATCTGATGGGCTTCTGGTGCACCTATGCACCCACTGAAATTGTGGGTAACAGGAATCCTTAATGTGACAGGCTTCTGGGGCATCTATGCACCCACTGAAATTGTGGGTAAGAGGAATCCTTACTCTGACGGGCTTCTGGCATATCTATGCACCCACTGAAATTGTGGGTAAAATCTGTGTATTCAATTGTCTGTACTTCTGAGGTGGGGATCCACAGGTTTCATCAAATTCTCAAATAAGTTCCTAAGTCTAAAAGGTTAAGAATCGATGCAAGAAGAAGGCTGAGGATGTAACCTAGACAGCACTATTTAATGAAATGTACTATAATTTTAGGATTAGAGACTATGGTGAGAGAGGGTACAAAATATGTTAACATTTCATTACAAATTTCTATGTGAGTCATAGTAAGCATGAAGCACATGATTATTTATTCAATATTGGACAAAATATGTCCCTAAAATGTGCTGACTCATTATTACTTGCAGACTACCCAGAATTGTATGAAAAACAGCATTTTTAGGCCTAGAGATAAAAATTTTATATTCTCAGTCAAAACGTGATTTTTCTCCCACTCTCACCCCATAACTAAGGAGAACACTTTCCCCAGCCACCTCTTTCTGAGGTCCATCTCATATCATAGCTAAAAATCAATGATCTCTTTTCAAGCATTGCTCTATAAAAAACTTCATGATCATCAGTGCCAGTTACATTAGCATCTGACTTATTACAAGCAAAAAAGCTTTGAAGAGACACAGGATTTAGTTTGCAAGAAGACCTTATAAAACCTACCCTCACAAGACCACAAAAGACCCAAAAATGAAATTACAGTTCACACTTCATCTTTTCTTCCTCAAAACTATCTGTCACTTTAAAGATAGGCAGAGACAGGGGAAAAAAAGGTGGTTTTTTTTGCAGTGTACATTTTAAAATCCTTCCAAAAACCATGAGTGTGTATAAAATAGATTCTTTAGTCACATGGATACAAACCACAGCATTTTTCCAAACCCATCACTCAAGAAAGCAAAGGATAATCTAGCCAAGCCAATTTGCATGTAGGAAAGCTATAATGTCTACTGCTTGAGAAAGATCAAAATATCATTGTACATGTACCCTGGTTATAAAAAACCCTTTCAGTATTGTGCAAAGGAGAAAGCTATGAATTACCAACCACAAAGAGATTATCGCGGACTATGAAAGTAGTCCTGACATACGCTTCATTTTTAGCAGACTGTAGCTCACAAAACTTTAATACATATAACACTTAAAAGAGTGGCTCAGGCCTGTAATCCCAGAACTTTGGGAGGCCAAAGCAGGTGGATCACTTGAGGTCAGGAGTCTGAGATCAGCCAGGCCAACAAAGGATGAAACTCTACCTTTACTAAACATAAAAATAAAAAATAGCCAGGTGTGATAGAGTGTGCCTATAATCCCAACTGAGGCAAGAGAATTATCGCTTGAACGCATGAGGCAGAGGTTGCAGTGAGCCAAGATTGTGCCAACAGAGCAAGACTCTGTCTCAAATAAATAAATAACTAAAAACACAGTTCATAAAATAATATAGTCATATAGCTAATAACTTGAAAATGTTCAATTACATTAATCAACGAAATCTATTAAAACCAACAAAAATCTAAAATAAATTACTTCCATTATGCTGGTAGTTCAAAAGGTTTTTTTGTTTGTTTTTTATTTTTGTTTTCTTGAGACAGGGTCTTGCTTCATTACCTAGGCTGGAGTGCAGTGGCACAATCTCAGCTCACTGTAACCTCAAATTCCTGGGCTTAAGCAATCCCCTCACCTCAGCCTCCCAAGTAGCTGAAACCACAGATATGTGCCACCACACCTGGATAACTTTTGTATTTTTTGTAGAGATGGGATCTCGCCATGTTGTCCAGGTTGGTCTTAAACTCCTGAGCTCATGCAATCCACCCACCTTGGCCTCCCAAAATGCTGAGATTATAGGCATAAGCCACTGTAGCCAGCCCAAAGGTTTTTTTTTTTTTTTTTTTTAAATTATCAATAGATATCAAACAGCTTTTAAAAATCTCAGATACTTTGCCCGAGTTTAATTCTACTTTCATTGGTTCTACCTTAAAAAAAAATTCTAAAATTGACTATGTGCAAAGATGTTCACTATAGCACAATTTGTCAAACAAAATTAAACAACAAAAGAAAAAAGGCAAAATCAATTATAGAACATCTACTAGGGAAATGTATTTTGTTTGTTTATTTATTCATTCCTTTACTACTGTGTTTCATAAAGAATTTAAGGTGGCATCTATGAAGATATGTAAGTAAAAAAATATGTTTAAAAAGCATGCATACAATGGGAAAATGCTCATGAATATTAAAAGGAAAGGGCTGGAAACAAAATTGTTTCTATATAAATGTAAGATGATAAAATATGTAATCTTACCTTTACTTAACATAATGTAGAGGAGAGAAAATACATGAAAATATTAAGAAAAATATGTGTATGTGTCTAGATGGGAACATGACAGGTGATTTTTATTCTCTTATTTTTTAATTTTGTAAGTTTCATATAATGAACTTATATTTTTATAATGGAAACATTTTTATATATATGAAAAGTATAAAAAGGATAGATTTTTTTTTTCATTTCACTCCATATGTGATGGTTTACAAGAAGGCAGCTCTTCCCATACAGCTGCTAATGATGAATTGAAAAGGGGAAATAATAGTGATACCTAAGAAAAAGGAATTCACATAGAAATTAATCTCATGAAATAAATGTGTCATAAATTTGTCAATTAAAGGTATCAAAAGACAGAATAAAGAGATGATATGGCATATGGTTGTAGGGAGGGAAAGACATTAATATAAACAACAGAATAGCAGATAAAGCCAAGGAATTTTCACCTTGGAATCAAACAGCCTAGCAGTGAACTTATACTAACACAGCTGTCTTATTTGAAATGTAGTTTCAAAAAATAATACATGTAAGCGACTCAAAAAACTGCGGCTGACAGGGTCTAGGGAATGAAGAGTATGGGCATAGAATTTCAGTTTGAAAAGACAAGAAAAGTTCTGGAGATGAATGGTGGTGACAGCTGCACAACAATGTGGATGTATTTAGTGCCACTGCATTGTACACTTTAAAAGTGCTAGAGTAGTAAATTTTATGTTAAATATATCTTACTGCATTAAAAAAATGTATAAGGTCTGATTTGAAATAGACTCCACTGGTAGGCTAAATAATTGAATTAGCTCTGAGTTTTCAGCACTTTCTGAAACAATATTTTGTAAAGACGTGAGCATAACTTATACTAGAAAAACTGTAATGTCACTTTAATAGCAACCTTCTTTTAATCAGAAGACTAGTGTTTAATAATTTTTCTAGCACAGCCATTGTTTAGCTTTTAGGTATCCAAAAATTATGCCTCATCTAAACAAAGGTTTAAAAGTAAAGTGGCTATTAGATTTACAGAAAAAAAGAAATCAGAAGTAAGGTCACTAATAATTCTGATATTTATGCAGATCTGCAGTAATTGGCTAAGAATAAATCTCCCAACAGTGAGTATCATTCCTAGAAACTGGGCAAAATACCCTAAGAACTATCCCCAAAGAGCCAGTTATCCTTAAAATGCAGTGGAAGACTTCTGATAAGAAAGTATTCTACAAATAGAATTTTGTTGTTGTTCTTTCTTCTTTTTTTGAGACAGGGTCTCGCTCTGTCACCCAGGCTATAGTGCAGTGGCACAGTCTTGGCTCACTGTAGCCTTGACCTCTCAGGTTCAAGCAATCCTCCCACCTTAGCCTCCCAAGTAGCTGGCACTAGAGTCATGCGCCACCACACCTGGTTAATTTTTTTATTTTTTGTGTAGAGATGGAGTCTCACTATGTTTTCCAGGCTAGTATTGAAATCCTGGGCTCACTCCCACCTTGGCCTTCCGAAGTACTGAAACTACAGGTGTCAGCTCTATGCTCGGCCCAAATTTTTCTAATTTAAAATAATTTTCTGATCATTAAATAGTAAGAAATAAAATAAGAAAAAAGTATTCAGGTCCCAAATTCCAAATCTAGTTTTCTCAGTTGCTTTAAAAAATCTCACTTACCCTTCGAGTGTTTTCAATAATTTTGGGATCAGGTTTTCCATAGTTAGGTGGGTTGGCGTATGGGTCATATCCAAGTTTAGCAAGCATAGGAGCAATCACTGCCATGTCTTGCAAAACATCTGGCGGTATCTTCCCAACCCATTTTGATAGAGCTCCTACATTGACTGGTTTGATGACTTGGTCTGTAGATCTCTCCACTCTGAAAACAACAAAATATGAATAAATATTTATTTAAAATTTAGAAAATCATGTTTCAAAACCACTATAAATTATGTTTTCATGATTACCAGTTTTAATTGTCTGGATTACAAAACAATGGAGAAAGAAGGCACTAATCAGGTCTGACACTATTTACAAGAACTTGTTTAAAAAATAATTTAAGATTGACAGAGATTATTGGCAATCTCAGATTTCTAGAAATAGGAAAAAGCATTAGCTGAAACATCTGCATAAAAAGTATTGATACTGTAATTACAACATCCAGGAAAAAATCAGTAACAAAATAAAAACACCGCAGCTTAGGAAAATTACCAGTGAACTTACTTGAAATGCTTACACAAAAAAGACAGACGGATGGCTGGAAAGAGGGGCAAACAGATGGACAGAGCAGTGACAAAGCAAATATAGCAAAATGTTAATAACAGAATCTAGCTGGTGGGCATAAGTCTTTCAGTTTTTTTGTGCATTTAAACTTTTCATAACAAAATGCTGGGGTGAAACTGCCAACCATAAACCACTAAGAATGTAAAATATTCACTCATTCTACTTTCCTGTCGACTTCCTTAGAAATCATATTTTATACAGAAGAAAAAAAAGGGCTGTTTTTGATTTTCAATATTACAGGATTCAATATTACAGAATAAATGTGTTCTACCTCTTGACATAAAAATTTAAGCCTGTAGTGATTCTACTCACTATATTTGACTAAATAGCTAGCAATCTCAGGATAAAACATAGCATGAAATGACATTTGGATTTAAGCTGGACATGAATTAGATTTTGGCCAAATGACTATACAACAGAAATGCTTAAAAGAACTTTTATATCCTAATATATAAAAAGTCATTCAAGCACAGTATTCTAAGAAAAGGTAAATGCTTTTAATTAAGAATATGACCTCTCACTGCAAATAATCATTATCTAATGAGGGATCTCCTAAAAGGGCTCTGCTTCTAAAATAATAGAAAAACAATGACTCTTCCCTGGGATTCTGGGAGGCTACCTGCTCCAGGTTTCCCTCCTGCCTCAAGAGCCACATTCCTTTTTCCCTTTTCAAATATTTCTCCAGGACTCCACTGCTTCCTTCACTCTATCTGTTCTCCCTGTACTGCTTCATCCTTAATGTTCTTTGCTTGACATCCTTAACCTGTGTAAATAATAACATGGTTTGCCCAAGAAAGGTCCAGTTTAAACCTACTGCCCCAGTGTAATTATTAAAAGCACCTGCCATTCACTCCCATAAATATTCAGGAATGAGCCGACAATGCTACATATGTATTGCATATGCCATATTACTTTTCTAAAATCCAAAAATTTCTGAATTCTGAAACACATCTGTGTTAAGTGTTGGCATCACAGATAGAGCCCTGTATGTCATTACTGGGAAGCTGGTCTTACCTTGAAGATAATAAGGAATAAATGAAGGGTTTTAATAACAACTGATATGAACAAAGTATTATTATTAGCATTCAGTGCTGATAACTTATAGGAATCGTAATTGGAGCATGAGGCAAGGAGGGGTGATCAGGAAAATCAGTATACATGCTCAACAACATGTTGGAAGAACATAAATGATTAAGGCTTCAATTAAATAAATTAGAAATCGAGATGAGACAAATTCCAAAGATAATTTTTAAAACTGCTAAGACACTGGGAGACAAAAGTAGGCAGATCATTTGAAGCAGGATCAGCCTGGCCAACATGGCAAAATCCCTACTAAAAATACAAAAATTAGCCAGGTATTGTGGCACATGCCTGTAATCCCAGCTACTTGGGAGGCTGAGGCAGGAGAATCACTTGAACCCAGGGGATGGAATTTGCAGTGAGCCGAGATCACACCACAGCACTCCAGCCTAAACAACAGAGTAAGACTCCATCTTTAAAAAAAAAAAAAAAAAAAGGTAAGACAGTGGCCAATTAGATATGGGAGGTAAAGAAGAAAAGAAAGGAGTCTGTAATTAATTCATATTTGACTTAAAGGACAGATGATGATTGGCTGTCATTCAATAATATAGAAGTATGGAGGAAAAGCATGCAGGTTTTTGATGTTGTTGCTTCCTTTTGTTTGACATGTAGAGGACAATAAAAAAGATGCAAATTAATAGTAATCAGAAGGTTACCAAAAATTTAGAGAAAAAATTCAAGTTGACTAGAATGTAGTAGGTGCTCACTAAACAATGGCTATTATGATTTCACACTGATGATAGCTCATGAGAAAACTGAAAGCCATATTCATCATTATGATTGAATAAACGATTTAAAGATAAAGTATAATCATTTTTTTGTCTGAAAAAGAGCTCGAAAATAAAAAACTTTGGAAAGCCTTTGCCATATAACCACTGAGTTTACGAGATCCACTAGCGGCAAATGCAGTAAGCCATGGCCTCTCAAGGGGAGGAACATGGGAAACCTACACATATCAGTCAGGTGTTTCCCTTTAAGATCAGCAGAAATGACATTTTATACATATCAAGCATAAAATTCAAATTCAGCAATTACTTCTTAAACACCCACTATGTGCCAAGTCAAATCTAATGTTTGATATTAAGGATACAAAGATGGGTGACTAGGCCACAACCTGCCTCTCAAGATGCTCAGAATCCAGCAAGAGAGACAAAGGTACACATGACTAATATACAGCATCATAAATGAAACGACAGAGGTCAGAGACAATATGACAGAAGTAGGCCATTCTTTTCATGGAGTAATAACACATGACTAGGGTACGTTACTAAGCAGCTAAGGCAAGGGTTAGCATCCATGAGTCACAGATTAAATTAAATTGACTCACACTGCCTGTTTTTGTCTGGCCTTCAAGCAAAAAATGGTGTTTACATTTTTAATGTTTTGTTTTAAATAAAAAGATTCGCATTTTATTACACATAAAAATCACGTGAAATTCAAATGTCAATATCCATAAATAAAGTTTACTGAAACACAATCACACTCATTCATGAACATATTGTCTATGGCTGCTCTTGTACTACAATGGCAGAGTTGAATGAGTTGAGTTAGTGAGGAAGAGACTATATGGCTTGTAAAACCTAAAATATTTACTATCTAACCCTTACAAAAAAGCTTTGTCTCCCTGATGTAGAACTGTATCCTAAGGAAACAGGCTTTCTGTGTGTGTGGTCTCAGGTGAGATGTCTTCCTGCCAGAAGGACCACATCAATATTCACAATCATGAGAGAACCTAGTATGGCTGGGTTTTTTTTTTTTTTGACACGGAGTCTCACTCTGTCACCCGGGCTGGAGCGCAGTGGCATGATCTCAGCTCACTGCAATCTCTGCCTCCCGGGCTCAAGTGATTCTCCTGCCTCAGCCTCCCAGGTAGCTGGGATTACAAGCGCACACAACCACACCCAGTTAATTTTTGTATTTTTAGCAGAGACAGGGTTTCACCATGTTGGCCAAGCCGTTCTCTAACTCCTGACCTAAGGTGATCTGCCCGCCTCGGCTTCGCAAAGTGCTGGGATTACAGGCATGAGCCATGGTGCCCAGCCACCTGGTATGTTTGGAGAATAACAAGTGAGGAGAGCTAAGGATATACTGAAGCCACTAAGTGAGGAGGATGAAAGGGGACAAAGAAACTAACAAGAGTTTATTCAGTGTTGCATGTATCTAGTTCAAGAAACACCTTCATTCAAGGAAAAGGACAGATCATTAAAATAAAATAGAAAATGAGAACAAGATATGATGTGGTCTCAATCTTCAAGGAGGTCACAATCTGGATGGGGAGTCACACAAACATTACACATTTAAACTTGCAGAGTTGCCTCTTAGTCCTGCATCAGCTCTCTGGGCTCCACTGTTCCCTCTTTCCATGGGTTCTAGTTATTTAGTTTATCTTTTTCTAAGAGGCAGCAGAGCGCAGTGGGGGAAACGCAGACCTAGAAGTCGTGTCTGTATGATCCAGCTTTGTAATCCAAGAAAAACTCTGATCCTAAGAGATTGGGGATAATGACCACTAACAGGCAGAGACACTATTTCCAAAACATTTTCAAAGCAGGTGTTGACAACTATTGCTCAAATCTGGCCTGCCGCCTTTTATGTAAATAAAGTTCTACTAGAACAGAACCACGGCCATTGTTCCTATACTGCCAAAGGCTGCTTTTCCTTTATAACAGAAGAGCTCAATGCTGACAACAGAAATCATATGGCCTTCAAAGCTAAAACTATCTGGCCCCTTAGAAAAACAGTTTGCCAACTTTTGTTCAAAAGGAGTAGAGGGAAATGGGCCTGGGACTGAGAGCCTCATTTTCTTTTCTCGATAATAACCTGCAGGCTGCATGGAGCTCATTAAATCTCCCCTATTCCTTCAGTCCTTCCAGAATTAACCAACACTTGCACCTAAAGCATACTAGGGTATGAACTAGATACCATTCTATGCTCCTTTAGCTTACTGGGACCCCAAAACATAGTATCTGATAAACTGGTACATCTCAACACACACAGCCCATGCACAGTGAGATGAGATATCTGTGACTCAGAAAGTTCTCTCCAGTCCCAAGTGCCCAGGCTTCCTTCCCTCTGTGGCAGTCACAGTGACAGCAACTCCTCCTCAAGGAATGGGGTCTATGCCAAAGTCTCAAATGACTGAGGTGAATATAATCCTCCATGACATTCATGTTAAGCATGGATCTTCCACGAGACTCAGTTAAATACTACGGCCAGGCTGACTGACAAACCACAGTTCTGAATTATGATACGCAGCAACTACTACAAGAAACCAAATTCTCCAGATTAAAGCATAGGAGCTGGAACAGACATGTAAAAAGGAGTGAGTGAAAGAGTACATAATCCTAGTGCCTGGGTTTATTACAATTAAAAAACATGTAATGAAACACCATTAAAAACCATGTTTTCAAAGACTTTCACTATTAGAAAATGCTCAGGTCATGTCTTGTGAAAGAAAATTTTTACATGTATATATAATAGAAATTCCATTTTATAAAAATGTGTTCCACAGACCAATAA